ACTTTCGGCTGAGTTGACCTCTGCGATTATTCCTAATGTGAATAACTCGTGCGTGTAATTTTTGGTAGCCGGGAATGGCGTTCGCGCCGTCCCGACATATATAAATACATAAAATAGTTTAAGTGTGTTAATAATATTAGGATAGAATTCATACAGGAAGTAATAGAAGAAGAGCAGAATAATTAGTTACATTTATTTATCGAGAAAGGTCTGCGTAATTATTTATTTTTTCTTCGTTGTTTTTTGCGTTGTCAGCTGGTGAGGCCCAGAAATATTTCGTTGATTTATATCCTCCAAGAATTCCTTCTAAGCATTTCCTCCATGTACAAAATTATTTTCTCAGTATTTGTCCTCCAACTCCTGCACTTGCACTATTGACACCTCCACCGGACCTGGGCGACTGAAGAAATGCTGCCACTGGCTGCCCTTTATATAGAGGCAGCTAGTTCAGTCAAGCTCCAAGTTGCTCTCAAATGCTTAGTCTGGTGCCAGGTAGAGATCGTGGAGAGCACTCTCTGCTGCTGCAGGCATTCTAGGTTCGTATTACTCAGACATAAATGCCAAATGAGCACTGCTGCATACATATGCACAACCTAAATGATAGCTCTTCTTCGTCACTAGCTTTTCTTAAGCAGTTACTCAAAGAGACAGACTCTGAGATGGACAGGGAGATAGACAGAGAGACAGATAAAGAGATAGTCATTCAAACAAATATATAAACACTTGGTTTAACTCTTCTATATCTCTCTTAAGGACTAGGACTTGTGTATACTCTTCCTTAATTTCTCGCTATTCCACTTTAAGCTAAAACTAGCCTGAAATAGCTAAACTTTTAACACTGCTTAAAACAGAACTTGCTGATGCTCTCAGTTTCTCTCAATTTTGAAGTTAATCAACAAAATTACTTATGTATACCCATCCCCCATCCCATGTATTTGTTTCCATATCTTGTATAATGTACCAAAGAGCTAATAAACTCCCCTATAAAATTAATTTCTATTCGTAGTAAATCGCTTATATCAATCATGAGGATTTATTAGTAGGTGATAGTAATTATAATATAAATAAACTTCGAGCTGTCTCCCAATAATTGACACTGGCTACAGTTGAGCTAGTCGATTCATCGATCAATAGCAGCCGCAGAGATGCAGCCTCGAGTCGAAGGCAATCCTGAGCTAACCCAGAGCCGTTGAAGCGATTTCATTTGATTCTCTTCATTAGCTGTTTTCCTTTATCCTTGCCTTTTGCGCGCTTTCTTATTTATCATCATTTATTTAAGCGATTCTCTGCTGTGTGGCACGCCTTTAAGCCCTTGCCCAAAGAAAGGAGTCCGAAAATTGTCGCTGTCAGATTACGGTGCAATATTGCTTCCAGTTGCCATATCCTGCTGCCTTTCCGCCTAAACTCACGCCGTAGTCAACCTCGGCAGGGAAAACGGAGACGACGAGGACGGCGAGGACGTGCGACCCCCTTTTTATTGGCTTTGACACAAGCAACAATTTACTCGGTTTCAGGTTAAAGTCATATCGTTAGCATTAACGCTTTTTGATTTTTATTGAGTCAGCTAAATTTTATTCGATTTGCCATCCATACACATGCACAAAACACAAATACTTGTACGCACACAGACACAGACACAGACACACACACACATAGTCACGCTTGGCACGCATCCCCCGTGACGGCAGCACAGACAACAACACGCGTGGGGGAGGAATATTTTCGAGCTTTAATGATGTTGGGCGACCAACCAATGAACCCGCCGGCTTGTCAGGCATTTTGGCTTGGGCAGTGGTGCAAGCGACGGTGCGGAGCTGGTGGGGTAACCTGTTTTCCGAGAGTCTATTTGGGAAGTAAATGAAAATTTGATTTGGAATTTCGTGTGCGTGGTGCGTCGTGCGCTCTTCTCTCTCCTTCTGCTTCGTACAGATCCCCTCTTCACGATAATGCTGATGAGGACGTCAAAGCCGAAGATGGGCATGTGATAAAATAAATTACGGGCAGATTAGTGCGAATTTAATTATCATTTGTTCCTTTGATGTAGCTTTGAGTAAATAAATAGAATAAATACCGTGCATAAAGATTATTGGAAGCAGCTCCCGACGTGGCACTTATAACCTCATTATCTCTGGCCCTCGGCATTCGGCAAGGAAATTGCAATAAATATCCTGCATTATAATTTGCACAAGCATACACACATACATAGAGAGAGAGTCATTGAAAGTATTGCCTACCTTGTGGGTTGTTGTATCAATGTAATTTGTAATTCCCAAACGGTTCCAGCAGCTCAACAATGGAAACCCGAGCCCCGAGCTGACTTAAGCATACTTACCTGGCGTAGAGGTTAACCGTGATCACGAAGGCGGTTCCTCCGGAGTGAGGCTTGGTCATTGCACTTTCGGCTGAGTTGACCTCTGCGATTATTCCTAATGTGAATAACTCGTGCGTGTAATTTTTGGTAGCCGGGAATGGCGTTCGCGCCGTCCCGACATATATAAATAAATACGATTTCAAACTTAACGCCTGCATTTGCTTGCCGCATCTGGCTCACTCAACATTGGCAACGTGTCCATTTATATGGTCGCTTCGACTCTTATTTTGGTACCAAACTCAGCTCGGCCATCGTAAATAAGGTTTCTTTAAATCGGCTTAGCTTTGGTTAAATGCTGCCGTGTGCGGTGTGTGCCGGTTGCCTGTGGTTACGGCGGGCAGAGCGATATCTCCCGTGATATTATCGCCATCGTCGTCGTCATGTTGGATTTGATGACAGTTGCGAGAAGACACACTTGCTTCGCCGGCGCAGATGTAGATGAGGAGGCGTGTGGGTGTGGCCAGAGTTTTCCAGCATGCCAACCCTTTGACCAGCTTTGGTTATTGTTGCAGGCGGCAGACGGCAGACGGTGCTCTGCTTGCTACTCCCCTTTGAGCAACGTAATACCCTTGGCAACCAGCTAATTTATAGAGCTTAAACTGTCTGATGAAAGATGCAAATGCTCAAAGATTTGTTGCAATTGGGATGTGCAGGAGATGCTCTCGGCTTAAATGTGATTATTGTTATGGCAGCCCGAAAAGAAACTTTTTCTGTTCGAAATTCAGTCGCCCTTTAAAGTTTTGTTTTTTTTAAAGAAATATCTGGCTCACAGTCGAGCAAAAACTCATTCCTGCCTGGCAACGTGACACAATCATATACCGTATCAGCTGTGGAGCATCTTATCAATATCAATCGCAACCAAGAGACAGCCGCAGTCGAGACACTCAGCCAGTCGGGCAGAAAGATAGACATGGCCAGTTGACTATTATTTGCTTGGTCTGTCCTCCCGGCGCTGTCAATGCCCATCCGTTCCTAACGGCCGCCCAACATTATTAACAACAACAACAACAGTTGCGCCGTCCAAGCCCTAGGCTAGAGCCAGGCAGCCGCCCGCCGCCAGCCCTTTATGAGTGTTTCATTGAGAGCGAGTGTATAGATGTGAAGACAGGCAGAGCATCTACATCATCATCATCAACAACAACAACAACAAGAACAGCATCAACATCAACGTCAACGTGCTCGTCATCACATTGTATAAATATCCTCGAGCACGTATATTTCATGGAGACACGTGCTGCATGTTTGCGCGGGCCGGTCCAAACCGTCAGAGGAGATTAATGCACGCATTAGTAGATTTAATGCATATTACGCTGAGCGCACGGCCTCCTCGTCCCCATCGTAGCCCTGGTGATAGTCGATGTGTATGTTGTTGCGATTGCCATTTGAATGGGTATTTCTATTGCTATTGCTATTGCCATTGGTAGTGACGTTGGCGTTGTCTTGGCTACCACCGTCGCTTTTGTCATCGATACAATTGAGACATTCTGGGGAATACCCTGGCATTCAATTGTTCAGCCAACCCTTGTCCCTGTTACCGAGAGCCATTAAAATCTGTGAAAGCTGTAGTCACCTGAAAGCAGTGCTAGCTGTGGCACTTCGAATACCCTTATACCTATTAACATTCACCAAGTTGTGTAATAAATACCAAAGAGTATTTCACTGTCATGGCATGGATATTATGTTGTACTGTTTTATATTTACTACTGCTACTACTCTGAGCGCCAGAATCATACTTAAATGAGATTGTAAGTAACATAGTTGCAGCAAGTACATAAAGAAAGTAGTTAATATCCTTGCGACTTGAGTGAAGCCCTGAGGATGAGCTCTCAATTAGTTCTGCATATCGCTTTACACACAATTATAAATTTCTAAATGAAGTTTGGCGTGCAGATGCATATTTGGCTATCATTCCCGGCCCAATCCCTCCCTCAACATTAGCATTGAATTTCAATATATTTCATGGCTTTCAATCAATTTCAAGGCAAAGTCACAGCGGGGTAGCTACAACTCCCAATGGACCTGTCAAGAGTTTTGCAAACAGAGTCGAGGTCTGTCATCATCAACCACATCATCATCATCAGCAGCAGCAGTAGCAGCATCATTATCATCTGCAGCATCAGCATCATTTTTATAGCTGTTCTCACAAGCTGCTTTATTTTAAGCAAATAATCGTCCTTTGAAGGTAAGAAACGGGCAGCCAGCGCAGGACAGGACAGGACAGAACAGGACCTGCAATGGATGATATGAAATACGAATTGTACTTCCAACTGAAACAGAAACAGAAACTGAAACGGAAACTTTCTGCAACGTGCACATTTTTTGTGGCAAACTTTTCGAAAGTAGATTAATTTGTAAAGCAGCTAACGCTTTTTGTTTGTGCCTGACGCATTTCAAGAGACTGCGGATTATGAATATAAAACTACAGCTTCCTTCCTTTGACTACAAGTAACTGTAGCCTCTATCTGTATCTGAGTGTATAAATAGTTGTATGTATGTATGTGTGTGTGTGTGTGTGTGTGTGTGTATGTGTCATTATATGCAAAAACTACAACATAAAAGTTACTTAATTTTTGCCAAAGTTGCCAACTAACTGTTTTTTTGATAATCATTCATATCTTGGTCTTTTTAGGAGCAGGACGAGCACCACCGGAACCCTACTATGGCCGCTACATTGGACAGTTTACGAACTTTGCGCATGGCATTAAGGTGGGTGGACAGACTGCACGGCTTCCAGGCTAGAAATTAGAGTTTCGGTATGCTATTTTTTTTTTGCAGGGCTCCATTTATGCCGTGGACGAGTCAACGCTGTTTGTTAAATCCTTTGCCTATGATGGCACCGGACCGGATGCCTTCTTTTGGGTGGGCAAAACGGCTAGACCATCGCCCGAGGGCTATATAATACCCTATCCGGAGGAATATACCGGCTCGTATGTATCGCTGATGCTTTCGCAATGCACTGAAATTTGGTGAAATTTTTGTGGGGTTTCAGCATGGGACGATATTTTTGACGGCGGCCACTCGAGCGCAACGGGCCATTTCCTAACACTCGCCGTCTGCATATGCATATATATGTGTGTGTGTGTGTGGGAGAGAGTGTGTGTATATGTGGGTGCGTGTTATATATCCTTGCAGATTTTACGTTACGCACGCCTGACAATGAAACCACTTTTAAAAATTAAAAAACATTTTTCATCTTGGCTGCCATTTGCGAAGTCGCTTTCGTTCCGTTCGCTTAATGCTTTATTATTGTTGTTGCTGTTGTTGGTGTTGGTGTTGTCGCTTCGTTGCCTCCTAATGCGAAAAACTCATTTATTTCTTTACATTAGATCTGCGGTCATATGTATGTATTGTGTTTGGCGAGCCTGTGCATGTGTACGTGTATGTGTGTGTGCTCGTAAGCTTGTGGCATTGGCAACAGCCCACAACAAGACCAAACAATGAAAGCCGCTGCCACAAGTGCAGGCGAGCGAGAGGGGAAGCGAAGTGAGAGAGAGAGAGAGAGAGAAAGTAAGAAAAGAACGAGTACATTTTAGCCGCATTCTGTTTGTATTTACTTGAAGTCCGCCCAGGCACAAGGTTATGCCACACTAGTGCGTATTTTACTTACCTTGCTTTCTGCGCCTGAGCGCCTTCATCATCCTGCTTAGCGAATGCCAGAATTGCCGGCTACTTGAACTGCACTAAGCCGCGCTGAGCTGCTCGGCTGCTCGGCTGCTGAGCTTGCTCCGAGCCGCATACTGACGCAGCGCACACAATTTGACGCCATTTGATGCCTGCTTAAGCATTGGGCACTTGGGGGCGATGCAGTTTTTTTATTTATTTATTTTTATTTTTTTTTTTAAACGTTATCATTTAGATATCAGTCTTATGCTCATTGCGCAAATAATCGCCCTTTATCACATGCCAAGGTAAAGGTAAAGTACCAACACTTGTCCCTGGCATTCAGTCAGGTGCCTTAACAGTATTTAAAGCTGGCATACCTTGGCGTCGCTCTGAGAGAAAATCTGATGTCAAACAGCCTTAAAATAACAATCATTGTGTACGAAAAATACATACATACTGACATATTTGCATGCGCATGCACAAAAAATCCCTTTATATCCCCATTCAATGCATTGAATATAGCAAAGCGTGCTCAACTGCCAGAAGGAAGCGTGCCTGACCCCATAATGGATATATGTATATGTTTATATTACATCAGTTTATTTCGCGGTGTAAGCGATAAACATAAATATATTTATTTACTTTATATCTTTGACTTTGACAAACAATAATTGAATTTCATATTTAATGTTATGTTATATACACTCTATAGAGTATGTTGGCCTAAAAACGCAAATCGCATTCAGTTCAGGGAATCTCCTAGTCGGGAGAACACAACTAGAGCCTTCTCACTTCTTCTTCTCCTTTGTGCCCTTAAATTTAAAGAGCATTATATATTTTTTTATTAAGAGCTTCGAGTTTCTTCTGTCCTCTCTTCACTGTCCCATTTTGTGCTATAAACAAACAGTATATGAAATGTAAGAATCAAGAAGCTTATTGACGATTGTGTGTGTCCCTGTATATGTGTAAAACGAAGAATGTTGGAACAGCAGCTTGGTATGTGACTCAAGGTATCTCTGTGTGGCGCCGTCTCCCAGCTGGAGCACTCTCACTTGTTGTTCATGTGCTTCAAAACACACTGCGCAGAGGGAGTGGAAGTACTCTACTTAGTTATTCTTTTGTACTTGTGTGGTGACACCTTAATATAATAATATTATGTCAAAGCAAAGGTGTTCATGGAAATAACATCGTAATAAAAGAAATTGTAAACGCATATACTTCAAATTGTTTTTAAATGCCAGAAATAAAGCAGCCATCACAATAAAAAGTTAGAAAAACAGTCGGAGAGAGAGGAGGAGCTGTAGGGGAGAACAATGTTAATTCATTTGGGGAGAAAACAGTTTGTATTGGAGAATCAATTTTAAAATACGACTTCTGCCTTAGAGGGATTAAGGATTTATTTGCAGTTCGCAAACTCAATTCAATAGCAGAATTTTAGTTTTAGCTAGCAGCTAATCCATATATGTATAACATTTTGAGACTGTAGAAAGGACGTCACATTTCACTTCATCACACTTAGCTTTCTATATAAATTGTAAATTCTAAACATACTGACAAATTTAGAAACATTTTTAAGCCGATTCGCGAACTGAGAGAACTTGATAGACTTCCAATATTTTCATATGATATTCTGTTTTTATCCATAATAAGAATGAAAAATCAGTTTTCCACATTTTGTTTTCATTTGCTGCTTTTGAAACGCTTTTTTTTTTTTACATCCGGCTTAGACCTTACTCCTGCCCTTGCGATTGTCACGCGGTTTGTGTTCCTGCTTGATGATGTGCACGGGCATGGGAGTGTGTATGCACCCCATCTCTTCTCCACTCCGGCCAACTGAAAGTAAAAACCCTGCGGTCCCCACCCGTCGTCAGCTTCATATTGTAATCGACTTTAATGCGTTTCATTGTTGATGCCACGTGCCGAGCTTTATTAGTTCAATGTATAACACTGGCATGCCTCATCCTCATGACATCGTCTCAAAAGCATAGCACTACTGAACGTGTGTGAGTGAGTGTATACATATATACATGTATGTGTCCATGTATGTATGTGTGTATAAATATGGGGTGGCACCGTAGTTCCTGGCCGGAACGAGACGCTCCGCGGCAACGATTGCACGCTTTTACGCTTTCAGACACACACATTACCCATGCCACATGCCAGATGCACCTTCTTCTGTGTGTGCGTGTGTGTGTGGGGTGGCAGGTGGGCGCAAATGATTGCTGTATTATGTGGCGCCGTTACTAAGTGCTAACCATAGCATACATTTGGGCGAACTAATTGCGCGCATTTATTGTGTGTAATCATTTAGAAGCTTATTTGTATTTATAGTTGCATGCATATCTTAATATATATATAGAATAGAGAACGAGAGGGAGAGAGAGACAGGGAGAGACTGAGTAGGAGAGAGAATTGACAATGATGCTTTGCTGCAAACTGTTTGACCTTTGAGCTCAAAACTGGAGCTAAAAGACTTCCGGCTCGACTATAACTTGGGCCTAGACTTGAACGTCTGCCAATCAGCTCTAATTATATAATACAGCCTTTAGTTGAGGAGCTGCTGACGGCACTACTCGCTTGCTTTTAAAATCAAATGTGAGTGTGAGCGTGTGTGAGCGTGACTCTCTCTCTCTCTCTCTCTCTCTCTCTCTCTCCCTCTCTCTCTATCTCTTTCTCTCTCTCTCTCTCTCTCTCTCTCTCTCTCTCTCTGTGTCACAATGGATGCATCAAGCATAAGTAATTAAATTAGAATTTTTTGAGAAGCATAAAAGCTGCTGTGACGCGCTTTTGATTAACGCCCCATTGCCATGACGACGCCCGTCGGCTGTTGCTCATTTGCTCATTTGCATTTCCAGCAAATTGTACAATGGCCAATGCAATTCCACCCTCCGCCACCTCCTGCGGCCTCCACCAAACACCCTCTCAGCTCTCCTCTCGACTCTGCGCTGTTGATGAAGCTGATACTGATTTATGCTGATCCCATTAAAATGTGTTGCATGCAAAGTGGCAAAACGAAGTTTTTAGTTTTTATGCCCATTGTGAAGCCCTGCCAATGCAAAATTGTCAGCAGCCAGGGCCCATCACTTATTGTGTTAACGTTAATCAACGTTGACAAAGCAGCGGCAACGCGAGAAAATGCCTTTTGCTGCTTTTGCTTCTGCCAGCGGCTGCTGCTCGCCTTCAACGCCCTTAACTTAATTAATCAACAGCGAGAAAAACTGTATTCAGCGCGGGCAACATCTCGATGACGCCACCAGCGACAAAACAGGCAAATGCCTCAAGTAGTTCCGCCTGTTGCTGGCACTTTTTCGCTCTGGCACCTTGAAAAGTGGCAAATCCTGTAGCTGAAATATGAAACAACTTAAGAAAGAGAGACAGAGCAAGTTAAATCAAAGCAATTCTCTCTATATCAGCTTCAAGAATATCGTCAATCAGAAATTTTGTGAATTTGTAATGCGTTTGAATCAAATTTAAATAGATTTTAATAAAATTTTATTAAATTAAGAGTAAAGTGTAGAGATATGAAACGTTTTTTATAGAAGTTAATATAAATTTAAGCATGGCGCATAAAATTTTACAGCTGGTAAAGACTATAGATGTTTCGTTTGTCATTTAAATCCTATCGATTTATACTTTTTTAGGTCTTATTTGACCCCGTGCAGAAAATGTGTAGCCCGTGAAAGAACATTGAGAATAACTGAAATTTAAATCATAATCTTGAAATATAAAATATTCTTCTCTTATAATGACAATTTATTTATTTTTATGTATATACAAATACATAGATTCTTTACAATTATTGAGCATATAAATATATATTTAATGTAATTATGTAATTGATTAATTATCTAACTATTGAATTGAAAAAAAACTTTAGAAAACTTCAGACAACTATAATTACTTTAAAAACTTTAAGTCACCAGCTTGTTCTTCCACTAGTTCTTCTCGATTCCACCGCTCGTATTAGTACTGCCATGCTGTTAGGACTGCCCAACCGGGATGCTCGATAAGCCTCGTCATGCAACTTCCCATACTTAGAAGCATTTATTGTAGTATTTCATAATAATGATGTTGCATAAGGAACATTGAGAGTAGCTATTGGGGGGTAGAGTGTATCCAAGAGGCGTGACCGATAAAGCATTCCACGAATTCCGCCCTTACCACACATTTTATACTCGCAGACAAATTTAATTGAGTGGTCGTTGCCCGGGACTCATCTGGCTGGTGCTGATGCTGTTTGTGACATGGATGGGGTGCAGCGTCACCGCCGAAAATTAAACATTCATAATAATTTGTAAAATAGATGGGTGTATCTCTGTATACATATATATGCAAACAAACAAACAAACATACATACATATATATGTACGTACATAAGGTTGATGTTCGTTTGGGGGCGGATGATTGAGCCATGGATGGGATGGGGGCACTGTTTGACGATTGTCGATTGCCGTTGCCGTTTGCCGTTTGCTGTTTGTCTGCTGAGTTGGCTCGTTTCATTGCCTGGATGGTGGGCCAGGCGCGATAGCTGTGCGTTTCAGCAACGCAAGCAAATGTGAAACTTCAGCCAGCTAGCAAAGGCAAAAGGCAAAAGACGAAAGGCACAAGCCAAAAGAATTCAAAGAACAGAAACAAAAATATGGCAGAGCAACAAGTTGAAGTATTCAACGTAAATTGTGAACGCAGTCGAGTCAATAACTAGTGATTGACACACTGAACTCTGGACTCGATTTGCAATAGCTCTGCTCTTTGGGTTTTGGTTTCTAGACAAACATGGACATGGCTGCTGCTGGATGTCTGCAGGACACAGGACGCAGGGCACAGGACAAACTCACAGGCTTTCAAACTAATTGGGCGAAAGTTCCTCTCTCTCTCTCTCTGAGTGTTTGCGTGTGTGTGTGTGTGTGTGTGTAGCACCATCGAGAACAAATAACAATAGGAAAATCGATAATTCCTTATGGATTTGTGTGCTGAGTGCATCAATGTATCTGAATCTTGAGCCCGCACAGCTCAGCAGCCGTAGTCAGTAGCAAACGGAGACGGAGACCCGTAACTCAAATAAAGTGCGATACAAACAGACATATTTGCAATGAGAAAACCAAAGTCAAAGGCAAATAGCACTTCGGGGGCGGCAGAATGTGAGGCTGCCTGACAGCCGGGCCAAATCAAAATGAATCTATCTCACAGCTAAACAGATACACACACTCGTCGCACTGTTGACATAGAACCATTCAATTTATTTTGGGCTCATTAAAGGTCAACACAGCGCCCAGCCCTCAGACCGAATGTCCTCTCGAGGGTGTAAATTAAGTGCTTAGCCGTGTCCAATGTTTAATGTCGATTGCGGCCTGTCTGACACTTGTTACGCAGCGCACGAACTTGACGAATTGACTGACTGACTAACTGACAGCCGTTGCCGCCCGCACTTGTTATATTCGTCACTGAAGTTGGCAGATTGACGGATTACTTACATACATACATACATATGATTATGGAAACACAAAAATTCAATTGCATTTGACTCCTGGTAAATTATGACAAAGATGAGTTGTGTGATCCGAAGAGAGCTTTGCTCATTAGGTAGAATTTTTTATTTAATTTATTTAAGTAATTTTATATTGCAGTCGAGTTGAAATTAATATAAATTAAATTTAATGAATGAACTTATGTTTTTTTTATATTATATTAGATATCTAATCGAAATATCTTTTCCAGAAGAGCCTAGATAACCACTTTTAGATGTTATCTATTTATTTATTTTTATTTTTTTTTTTTTTTTTGAAAGTGAGTTTAAGTCCAAATAATATATATTGACAGATCAGAATTTCGAATGCAATTTTGAACAATTCATATAAATCGTATATCCATATTAGTTCATATAAAACTTATGTTTTACGTACGTAAAGTTTGAGAGATTAAATCGACTGAATATGAAAATTTAACTATTTTTCATGGGCGCTTATTGTATTAAAACGTTGCAGTTGGACGTTGCCGAGTGCAAAATACTAATTCAAAGCTCAAGCTCAGAGACAGATCCTTTTTAGGGGAAAATCTTAGGTATAAAGATGATTTGATTTGAGTTCTGCGGGAGTTTTACTTTCATATCAATCAAGCATTGATTATGTTTATCTAGGCAAAATGATTTCTTACTTAATAATCCTACTATGTAATTAAGTTTTTTGCAAGTTTCCAAGTTTACTTCAGTTTGTGGGCATAATTATGTATATACATACATATGTACATCTGGTACATGTGTAACAGCTATAGAGCTGCAGTGCGCAGGCAAACACAGAACATGTAGGATTATTGGGGTGTGGGGGAGCATTGTGACATGGCTCGCATCGTTGCATTGGCCATAAATCTTCATCATAGTCAGCCAATGCAGCCCGCAGAAAAAAAGTATCAATGCGATGATACTCTACAACTAGCTCAAAGGTATTTAAGGCGCCACAAAATCAGGCATGGCAGATAATGTAGGGTATATTTATTTATCTTCTGTAAAAATATGAAAATGTGTATATTTTCTCAATACTTAATGCATAATATAAAAGGGAATAGAATTAAATGAGCTCCATTTATCAATGGGTACAAAATATACCGTTTTTTCTAAGAGAATATTTCATAGTAAAATATATTTTGTACAGAAAACGTGTAAAACGATAAATTTACTCCAGCTCTGTCTGTATGCAAAACAAGTAATATGAAATGATTTTTAAATTATAATGTCTTCTGCTTTATTGATTCAAATGATCAAAGGAGAGAGGGATAACATAAAATGCTTGCATTTGGATATTGAATATATTAATTGGCTGTGCATTCGCTTGTAGCAGATTACGGCAAAAGATGAGAGAGGGAGAGAGAGAGAGAGAGAGAGAGAGAGAGAGAGAGAGAGAGAGAGAGAGAGAGAGACGAGGAAGATAGGGTTTACTACAATGCCATAGACAGCCCATATACATGGTTGACATTGTGGAATTTTCCGGGTGGTTTTGCTTTAATTTTAATGACACTGCAACTACAAGCACTCGTCAATATTGACAGGGCAAATTGGAGGCGTGCTCTGTTGTCCATTATTGGATCAAAGACCAGCCTTGAGGCCACAGGACTGCATTCAGTGGCAGTGGGCAGCCGGACAAGCGGACAGGCGGACAGACGGACAGGCGGACAGACGGACACGCGAGTAGGCAAGCAGGCAGAACATTGTCCTGATAGCTGCGCACTTTTAATAAGCGCTGCGTAAGCTCAGTTCACACTGAATAGAGATGGACAGATGTATGGACGTAAATGGATGGGTTGGATATATGCGAAGTGCTTCTTAGGTGGATTTTGAACGACTTTATTGGTGCACTTCGAACAAAGCCCCGCACTCTATTGACTATCTACTGTGTCTTTCTCTTTTCATGGCGGCCCGCAGTGATCCGCCCGTTCTGCAGGCGCACAACAATACGGACATCATACTGCGTTTACCCATGGGCAAAAGGATTAAGGACATTCGATGGCTCTCGGTATGGTGCAGACGCTTTACGGTAAGTCCTTCCATTTTGCCGCTTTTCTTGGATGCTCGAAACGGCACGCGCCGTCCGAATAGATTTATGTGTGTTGTTAGTACGGACCAAGACCATTTTGTAATTACATTTTTGTAATTTAACTGCAGCTGGATAAAGGCTTTGCCCTCCCATTCCTCGCCCCTTTCGTCTTTCGCCTGTGTGCATTACGCTCATCCAGAGCAAAGTTGCAGGCATCGATTTACTCTTGCGCTTCTTTTTTCAGTTTTTATTTTATTTTATTTTATTTTTATTATTTTGCTTTTTTTCTGGCTACTGCTCCTGAATGTGGGTCAGTTTTGTTAGCCAAGTGGAAAGTTTGTTTTCATTAGACTTTTTAGATTTGTAATTACATTTTTGCATAGACAAATGCGCATCCGAAAGCCAAGAGTCCGACCGCACCCCATTTCATGCAGCCCCAATCCGTGTGCCGGGATACACACACACACACACACACACACACACACACACACACACACACACACACACACAGCAATGAAATTCTCTTTCGAGCTGAAATGGAATTCACTTCAGTTGAAGCTCAGCAAATAAAAATGCATTTAAATTTCAAAATAAAGTTTTGCAAGCTATCTGAACTCGTTCAGCATCATTTTTCTGGGGGTTGGAGTTGGCCATTGGGCGTTGGGGCGTGGAGTTGGGGCTGGCGTTGTGTGTGACCGGGTGGAGCTGTGACAGCCAAAGATGGCCGCCATGGTAAAATAAATTACAGCAGACATTTTTGATTAACTCAAGTGGTTGCATATATGTATGTATGTACATACACACAAATAGGCACACATACTAGCAAACACCCTGGCGTATACACACACCAATATAGAGAAGCCTTATACAGGGTGTCGAGTTGTTACTGTTTTAAATACGTATACGTGTGTCTGTGTGCGCCCTTGTGGCTGTATTTGTGTTACGCACGCTCTCTGTTTCTCCGCTTCCATTGACTGACAGCCAAAAAGTTCTTGGGGGCTGACACACACACACACACACACACACACACACGAGCGCATGCTGCTCAGATTGGGGGTTTGTTCGCTTGTGTGTATTTGTGTGGTTTTATGGAGTTCTGCGCGCGCATACCTATTTTTTGGGGGGTCCTCACAAGCCCAATGCAATGTATATAAGGCATTTATATACAAATATTTTGGTATACAACAACATCAAGGTAAAAACTGAATTAAATCCGACCTTATAAATACACTATTTATTGCATGCGCTTTCTCAATTCATTCCATTTGTGTTTATGTTTCTGTTTTTCTTTGTGTTTCAGGTCGATTTCGGTGAAGTGTTCATACCGCCTGGCCTAGATGTGCCCAAGCCTCGAGTACTGCCGGAGTTTAGGCGCCTGGCCCACGGACTTCGCTCCAGCAACATAAGCGTTCTGGACGCCAAAACCTTTTATATGTAAGCTTAAACTGTAGAGAGTCTAGTATCTTTGTTATCAGATTAATATATTCTCGGTATCCTTCATTTTCCAGTCCCAATCTGCACTACGATGGCGCCGGACCCGATGCCTATTTCTGGGTGGGCAATGGCAGCGAACCGAATATTATGGGCATCAAGGTATGTACTAAGGGTTTACTATGGAAATTTTTCATATGAACATATATGTATTTTGCGAAGAATATCATTATTATAATATTTGATGCTTTAGGTGCCCAATGAGGTTGGATCATTGGACCCGTTGCGTGGCTACCAGGGCGAGGATATCGAGATTCAATTGCCGGGCAGCTTGACCGTTTACGACATTGACTGGCTGGCAGTGTGGTGCGTGGAGTACAGACACAACTTTGGACATGTCTTCATACCCAAAGACCTGGATGTGCCGCCTGCATTGGGCCAGACGAAAATTACGGTAGGTGGCAAATAGCCGAAAATGACTTTAAAAACACACACATATATGTATATACATATGTGTTTATCACATACATGCATATATATTTACATATGTTAACCAATCGCGCATTCGCACTAACACCAACACAGACCTGTATTTAATCATATGCTCGTTCCCACACAACTCATAATTGTATATCTCTTTAACCCATTCGCGCCGCATTAGCCATCATGGTGGTATTCACCCGTAAGTACTAGCCCTGGCCACACGCATGCTGCAAGTCCTTTTGGGGAGTCCCTTAAACTAATTTCTCCTTTTTGCTGTTTTTAGACAACAACAACGCCGCGGCCCGTCTACTCCAATTGCCGTGAGATTCTGCCGAATAAGCTGCAGGTTAAGTGGGAGCTCCAGGGCGAATACGTGCAGATCGAGCTATTCGGACGCATCAGCGAGGATCAGTATATGGCCTTTGGTCTGTCCGGCGCTAACGGACGCCCACAAATGGCCCAGTCCGACGTTGTGGTGGCTTTCTATGATTCCAACGCTCGAGTGTTCCGCGCTGAGGACTATTTCATCTCCGATTTATCCCAGTGCGATGGCCAACGTGGCGTCTGTCCGGATGAGCGACTTGGCGCACGTAACAACGTGATCGTAGGTATGTAACCTTAACTGATTCCCTTTGAGCAAGTTGGCTTAGATTTCGCACATTCAGTTAGTGGGGATCGCAAAGGTGGCGTAACCAGCATTCGGTACAAGCGGCTGCTGCAAACCAATGAAGCCATCTACGACATGCCCATACCCATCGATCGCGAGGTGTCGATCATTGCGGCCGTGGGACCACTGAATGCCCGCAAGGAGGCCAACGCTCACTCGCACACTGCTAGCGATCACAATCCCGACGACATTCGCATCAACTTCTCGAAGCGGGTGAGCTGCAACTCAATTCCCAACAAATTATACTCGCTTAAGACTCTGATTTACCTCTGTTTGCAGAACGATCACTCGTGCAAGAACTCGCTGTATGATATAAAGGACGAGAGCGGCCCCAAGCCGTGGCCTACGCTCAAGATCAAAGGAGAGCAGAGGTTCCGCGCTAGCATTGGAGCCACAGGGGGCAAACGTGGATATACAGCGATTACGGGCATACCCTCCTGGGGTATTGCCTGGTACATCAACGATCTGCTGATTCCCGAAATAACTGTGGAGCGTGGCTTGACCTATGAGTTCTTAATCGAAGGCGGCAACGATCCTGCACAGCCAGCCAGGCAAGTTCCAATTGTGATATACCTTAGGCGTAACTGTAATATCAACTGACATGTGATTCTCAATAGATATCACCCATTTTACATTACGGACTCACCGGAGGGTGGTCTGGGCCAAAAGACTGGACTAGAGGCACGCAAGCAGAAGGCCTATGCGGGCGTTGAATACGATGAAGACGGCAATGCGATACCCACGGGCGGTAAGTCAATCACCAATAAATTTTTGAGACTATCTTAACTCGAAACTCTTTCAGTGGGTCGTTATTGCGAATGGGAGCATCGAACTGTAGATCGTTCAGCTGAATTCGATAACTTTGAGCAGTTCAAGAGCACACTAGTCTTCAAATGTGAGGATGGTGAGCCAGGCTATCTGAACTGGACGGTGCCTATGGATGCGCCCAACACATTATATTATCAGGTAAATCCATTTCCTCATAACAGAAAACTATATATGGTTATGAGTATCATTCCGTATTTCAGTGCTTTACCCACAATAATCTGGGCTGGAGGATAAATGTGGTGGATGCCGGCGCAAGCACCGCACCTACGACACTTCAACTCGGACAGAACCAATTGTTCTTCTACACGCTGTTAACAGTTTTCAGCCTGGTTGTAACAAGTTCTAGATTGACAAATTCTTTGCTGGCTTGACAGCCAGATTGTCAGTAAATTGCTGTTTAGGAGTGTTTCAAGATCTTTTGTTAGACAAGGTGGTTGCTTTGAGCATATCTAGAATACTCTCTTTACATATCCTGAACCATATTAAAAAAATATAATTTCATCAACTATTCAAATATAAAATTTAACAATCGCCAAAAAAAAACAAAAACAAGGATCTTGAAACATTCACCAGAATAACAATAGCAACCAGGCTAATATCATCTGAAAAAAACATATCTTCATCATAATTTTTAAGGTGTAAAACTGTTGAAAACTATAGTATGTGGGCGTGTGTAAATGGCAGTGGTGCATACTTACTGCACCTAGTGTAGCTGTAGGTATACAGATAGTAATCGAAGCATACATGCAGTAAGGCCAATGGATCGTGCTTAGGATTGAACGAATGGAAGGGCAGAGGAAACTCTTTGTATATTTACGTATATGGAACTCTACTTTTTTACGTGTCTGAAATGGGAATACGAAACTTACTTATACACTTACATTTACAGTAAAACTTGTAATTTTTCTAGAAACAACTACTACTTATACACATACACGCATACATATATATAGAGATATATCTATATATATATATATACAAGACGGTTCTAAGTAAATGTAAACCGACAATAAAAACGCGACACTATGACAATAAATGACAATAAATGTGCGCAAAACAATTAATTGGGCCGAAACTTTGGCTCGATTATTATTGTACAATAAGGAATTAATAATATTAAGAGTTTGCTAACACGAGAGATATGACAATAAAAGTAATTCATATATTAATCTCAACAACAAAAATTGAAACAGAAAGAAGAAACTTACATATATAACTTTACACATTTTAAATGTAATACTAAAAGAAAACAATACTTACATATATTGAAATATGATACTATGTTATGGAATGATGTTTATTTTATATTGCTACTGACTACTGTGGTGCTTCATGTAATAATATTATTGACAATATTCGGGAGTGTTGAATAATGATGGGAATTCGACGAAGGGATTCCAATTTTTGTTATCAAATGTTTTTCTTGTAACTTTTTAAAACTCTTTGACTAATTAATGTTTTTTATGAATAAACGTATACATAACTTCGGTTCGTTGCAATTATTAAAATTAATGCATAATGTAAATGATCATCTTAACTTCGTGACAATAAACAAATGCCGAATATTAAATGCTAATTGTCAACAAATCGCTCGACGATTGTTGAATACGTGTATCAAAATGGAATATTAGACAATATAAAAGTATTGCAATTAAGTAATGTTTGTACTAAATACCTTTTTGGTAGCTGTACGTATAGTTTGGGCATGGGTTTGTTATACACAAAAAAAAAAAAAAAAAAAAAAAAAAAGAATCTATACTATACATACATATATATATAAATAAATTGTATATACTAAAGATATATACTAAATATTTCTAGTTCTCGAGAGTTTATAAAAAAAAAAAATCTTTTGAGTACAAAAAGTACTTAAAAACTATTTTCAAATTTCGTTTTATGATTTTCTTTATACCCAATTTTTGTAAAATTATTTTCAACTATTTTGCATTGAAATTAAAATGAATAGCGACAGCAAAGCAACAGAGCCATCAAATTATTAAAGATTTTGATAACAACATTTGAGATTTACGTATGTTTATATACAGAGGAATAGGCTTACGACCTGGGGCTCGATCGAGTTTGTAAGGCAATTGAATATTTGTATAGATTATTTTGCTGCTAAGCGCACAAAAAAGTCCAACAAAAGAAAACGAAGACGAATAATATAAAAAATATATAAATAAAAATGAACTCAATTTATAAATACATTTTCGTATAGTATTGAATTAATCTACATGAATGTAATATCAATATACATACTTATGACTTGCAATGAATAATCCAAATACATACAAACATTTCTATACAATATACATATGCATATGTATATATTTATGTATATACATATTTATGTATATGTCTATAGAAGAATTTTCATGTCGATTATAAATTACACAGCTCATTCTGTACTTAAGTAAAATTAGATAGCAACATTTTTCTGCAAAAAAAAAAAAAAAAAGAAGAGAAAACAAAAAAAAAAAACATAATTCAAATTAAAAAGCAAACTTTCATAATCTTGCATTGAAGTCTCGAAACATAATTAATTAATATGCATGCAAGAACAATTCCATTTTAAACGTTATTAAGCCTCAGACAATAATATACAATATGTAAATCCATTGTAAGTGGAATCAAAAGGCAAAAATCAAATCAAAATCACTTGAGAAACCTGCCCTTAAAGCAAAAACAAAGTGGTAGACAATTGAAACATTGATGTCAATAAGCAGCTTCAACAAAGTTTAATTCAAAACTGCTACAAAACATATTCTAGAAATAAACTTGAAAATAAAAACTAAAAGAAACTAAAACCGAAACAAAGAGACTTGCATTCAATTTTATTCCAATTAGAATAGATGCCAGACTTGATTGTTGTTGCTTTAATCAAATTGATTGCAATTATCGCATGGCAACTGGGCGAATGATAAGATGCGCCAGATGCGCAGCAAATTCGACAATAGCTGCTAGAGGCACCTGCGATACACTCAGGTGACACTGTGAACCTTCACCCACACGAATTCTTTTAGATTTTGAGAGCTGCGTCAGCGCTCAGTTTTCTTGGCTATATAAGCCATGGGCTGGGTGCCGAAAAGCAACAGTCTTTAGGTATTGGATTCCAGTTGTGTGTCTAATCCGGAGCAGTTAAGCGGGAGCACTTACGACATTTCAACATGAAAATTGCTATTGCATTGCTGGCCTGTTTGGGTCTGGTCGCTGCGGCCAGTTTCCATCAGACGCACGAGGTGAAGATCGCTGACAAGGAATTCCTGGAGAAACAGAAGTTTTTGTTCGAGATCGTCTACCGTGTGGAGGACCCTCTGATGTTCGAAGAGTACATCAAGAAGGGCCAGAAGTTCTACTTTGAGCAGTCCTACTATACTGTAAGTACATAAGTTATCCTTCTAATCATCGTTCTCTAACCTTGTTCAACTACCGTGGAACAGAAATATGACAAGTACATGATGAAGTTCTATGAAGGCTACAAGGCCCATTCGCTGCTGCCCAAGGGCGAATTCTTCGGTGAGCTGGTCAAGGCTCATGCCATGCAGGCACGCGGTCTCTTCAACTTCTTCTACTATGCCAAGGACTTCGAAACCTTCATGCACAACGTGTGCTGGGCTCGCATGCATGTCAATGAAGGCATGTTTGTCTATGCTCTGACTCTGGCCGTAATTCATCGTCCGGACTTCCATGGTCTGATTCTGCCCTCCATCTACGAGATCTTCCCACAGTACTTCTTCAACAGCAAATTCGTATACGAGGCCGAGAAATTCGACTATGAAATGTGGACCAAGATGAACATGTACGAGAAGGAGTACATGGATGTCTACTACAAGGATTACAAGAATACAAACATGTACCAGAACAGCGACTACATGTACATGAAGGACTGGAAGATGTGGCAGTGGTGGAAACTGATGGGTTTGGGCGAACGCTTCTACAGTGAGAACAAGTTCATCCTCCGTGAGAACATCTACGAGTTCAACCAGGACACCAAATGGCAACAGATGATGAAGGATCTGAAGGTCTGGTATATGCCAGTTGATTACAGTCGCGATCTTAACATGTACAACGAGGAGTCCAAACTGTCCTACTTCACCGAGGATTTGGGCTTGAACGCATACTGGTACTACCTGAACTTGGACTACTCCTTCTTCTTGGATGGCAACACCTTCGGCCTGAAGAATGATCGTCGTGGTGAGCTGTGGTTGTACACCGTCCACCAACTGCTCTCCCGCTACTACATGGAGCGTCTGTCTCATGGCTATGGCGAAATTCCCGAATTCTCGTGGTACAACCAGATCGAGATGGGCTACGATCCTCAGCTGATCTACTACAACGGCATTGGCTACAGCTACCGCAAGAACTACTACGAGCTGGAGACCTACGGCAACTTCAAGATGCTGGACAAGATCACCGGCTTCATGACGCGTGTGCAAAACATTATTGACATGGGCTATTACAAGACCGCCGATGGACACATGATCGATCTACGCAAACCCGAATCCGTTGAGTACATTGGCAACATGATGCAGGGCAATATTGATAGCATGGACAAGATGTTCTACCAGTTCTGGTACATGTTTGCTCATATGTACTTCGCCGATGCCGACTACTACCAGATGGAAGTGTACCCCAACGTGATGCTCAACTTCGAGACCATGATGCGTGATCCCATGTACTACATGTTCTACAAGTCGATCGCCCAAATCTACTTCAAGTTCATGCACTATCTGCCCAAATACACCAAGGAACAATTGATGATGCCCGGCGTCACTCTGAAGAATGTGGAAGTCAGCGAGCTGGTCACCTACTTCGATCTGGTTGACTTCGATGTGACCAACCTGATGAACGACAAGATGGTGTTCCATGACGGCAAGTTCGTTTGGGATAAGTCGCTATACGCTCGCCAGATGCGCCTTAACCACAAGCCCTTCACCTACACCTACACTATTGAGTCCGACAAACCCGAGAAAGTTGTTCTGCGTGCATTCATTGGACCCAAATTCGATGAGTTCGGCCGCATGATTTCGCTCACAGAGAACCGCATGAACTTCATGGAAATCGATGAGTTCTACTACGAACTGAAGGCTGGCACCAACATGATCACCCGCAAGTCCAACGACTTCTACTGGACCGTCAAGGATCGCACCACCTACAGCGAACTCTACTACTACGTAATGATGGCTTTCGATGGCAAATACGATTTCCCTCTGGATATCAGCGAGGCCCACTGCGGTTTCCCAGACCGTCTCATCTTACCCATGGGCTGGAAGAAGGGCATGCCTATGCAAATGTTCTTTATGGTTATGCCATACAGCGCACCCGCTAAACACGAACAGTTCTCCACCTTCGACTACACCTACTCTTGCGGCATTGGATCCGGCGCCCGCTTCATCGATGATATGCCTTTCGGATATCCCTTCGATCGCGAGATCGATGAGTACGAATTCTATGTGCCCAACATGTACTTCAAGGATGTTCCCATCTACCACGTTGACACAATGGAGCCGTACTACAAGTACAAGGGCTACACCAACTACGGTCAATTCGACTATACTTTCTTCCGTGACTACTACACTAAGTACTTCAAGCTTTAAAGTGAATCATGGACGAAATGTAAAGGCACTTTTGATAATGACTACCGGATTCATATGTGGAAATGATTGCCAGAGTTAGATTGTAAGCTGAGCAAAAAGTGAATAAACTTTCGAAAAACAAAAGCAACTGTTTATCTCTTTAAAAATGAATCAATGAAAAATTTAAAATCAAAAAAATTAAAATATTCAATTTTTTTAATACAAAAGGCTTCGGTCAAATACAATTTTCAAATTATAGCTTTTTCATAAAATTCGGTTGAGTAAATAATTATCTGTGTTCGTTAATATGCCGCCACTTCTATTCACCACAACGCATATTAAATGTTGTATACTTTCAGGAGCTATATTTCATGAAAATATTCTTACAATTCTCATGCGGTTCTAGCTGTAACTCCATGGGAACCCGAGGCCTGAGCTGATTCAAGCATACTTACCTGGCGTAGAGGTTAACCGTGATCACGAAGGCGGTTCCTCCGGAGTGAGGCTTGGTCATTGCACTTTCGGCTGAGTTGACCTCTGCGATTATTCCTAATGTGAATAACTCGTGCGTGTAATTTTTGGTAGCCGGGAATGGCGTT